CTTTGTAGTCAAATAGAGTTAAGCAGCCACCTCGATTAGAATCTTGATAGCTTCCACTATATTTCTTTAGTTAATCTTATTTTTAGTTTAATTTTTAGTTTTAAGTTCAAGCCCAAGTGTCGGCTTTGTTGTACACTCCAAGATGGAGTTTTGCTAAATCTTATTGGAATAATAAAGGGTTAGTTATCCTTCCATCTTGTTGTTTCTTGTTATACGAACTTAAGCGATTATTCGCTAACTAGTTCTTAAGATTCGTCACTTTCTGTAGTAACTGAGAAATACACTAGTGAGAATCTTACAGTTTGTCATTGGTTTTCTTCTCATATTCATGTTTCATGTGACAATATTAGCTGTATATATTTGAAGTCTCTTGCTTTATCTGTTATTACTTATAACAACCTGATCAAAGCCTGTTTTCACTGTAACTTTCCAAATGAGAATAGTACCTTTTTAGCATCTGGGTAAGATAAGTTAAAATTTTCCTGTTTAAGATCTGTTTACTGATAATACAAGTATTGAAAACAAGTTTTGCCGATGACTTTGCAGCTTCATTGAATGTAAACTGTCTGAATGGTTATTACTGAATTTCAATGCACATATATGTAAAATAAAACATAATATAATTCAATTGGTTAATATAAACATAAATTATAAGCTTTTGTTTACAACCTTATCTGGACAGAAATATTGTAAAAAAATCTAAAATATTTATAATCAATATTAATAATATTAATTTGTTGTTTAATTCATTTTATCAAAAAGCAAAATTTAATTAAAAAGCTTAATGTTTGTTCCAGCATTATTCCAATATGCATAGTCAGGACTTGTCACTTATTATACCACTCTTCGGTTCAGGTTTATCACAAATAATTTAATTTTTGAAAAAAGCATAGCAAATGATGATAATACACATAGAAATATTGCTAAGAGAATCTACAGAAACCTGCCAGTTAAAAGTGAAAAAAAAAAAAAAAAAAAAAAAAAAAAAATATTAAGTTGTATTAAAGAAGTTTATACTATAAAAGAGTTGTGATAATTCAGTCATATAATCAATTCCTTTTTACACTGATTTGTAATAAGTAATTGAAACAATTAAGAAGTAAAATAAATAAATAAATAAGTGCTGAGGGGGTGGCATTTAAAGGACTGTCAAAATTTTTTAAAGCCTTTTTATACCATTTATTATCGTCAGATCATTTCAAAATTTCTGTCCAGTGTGGTAAGGGTATTAAGGTATTTTTTAGCAAAAAACTGAAAAATCGGTAATTTCATTGACTTTGGGGGGGGGGGCAAGTCCCCAAATCATTGATCTAAAATAGAATGCAATTTCATGCTATGTATAATACTTTTTAAAAAAAGTTTTAAAATATATAAAAAGACTGTCTGAAGTATGTGGACGAAGAGCCAGCTATTGCTGACAAAGAATGACATTTGAATTTACTGTCAGTAGTAGCTTCTAAATATTTTGTATGGTTCAAAAACTATTGGGCCAATAGCCTTTATTTAACAGGTAAAAATATCGCCACAAAACAAACATAAGACATTTGTAAAGCCAAAGAATTATAGAAAGAAGTAAATTTTTATTTTCTTACGGATTCATTAGTAATACATCTTGAAATTGTATTGACGCATTTGATCATGTTTTGTGTTAGTGCATAATAGGCATCATTGATATCAGTAATCATGCAAACAATTAAATTATCTTTAAAAAAATGGGAAGTTGTGCTCAGTTTGCTATTGTTAAAGAGTTATGGTTAAAAAACCCTTTTCTCCAAATCTGAATAACAAATAAGCATAAAAAGTAATAATTATCACTTCTTAGAAATTTCTAGTTTTTAGGTCTTAAAAGTTTCTTTATTTTTTTATTAGATTCCCCCCCCCTCTATGCATCACTATGCCTTATTGTGTCATTAATTGGTCTTCAGAAAACAAACTGTGAATGGAAAATACTGAGTTAATACAACAAGAAGAAAGATCACCAGAAAAGATTGGAGTGGTTCAGTGAATTTTTTTATCTTTTGAAGAAAATGCCAGGCTATTATATGTCAGTGTGCTGTGCAAGTTTTAAAAATTGGTGGCCCAATATTTTACATCCTTAACATCTCTTGGACATTTTGGCTTTGAGCTTAGTAATAACTTTTTGCATATGGATGGTAGCTTATTTTTCAGAAGCTAGCTCGGCACTGGAAATAATCTAAGAAATGTTAAAACTTTAAAAAGACCCATCACGTCACAAACTTTCAGAATGACCCACTTATTTTTGAGTTGTTGAATTCAATCGAATTACGAAATGAACCCTGTGAGGAAAGGTTTTTATTATTTATCAGGTTCATGTATGTGCTAATTAGGGTTTGTAGCGGTCCTTATAAGTGCTTATAAGTCCTTATATTTGAAAATAAAATATAATGCTTATGCTTACTTTTTCTTTAAAGCCGTTATTTTTTTGTTTTTAGTGCTTATTTATTTATTTATTTTTTGCTTTTAGTGTTTTTTTTTTTTTTTTTTTTTTTATGAACCAGCTATTTTTCTCCATACTAAAGCCGAAACTAAATAAACAACTTTTCTTCCTAATATGGAATGTCAGATGTGAGTCATACTCCCGGAAATAGCTTTTCCCTCTTTGTCTGCATTAACATAACAGTTGGTGTGCACGAAGAATACAGACAGGGGCTATGTCGTTTATATGAAGGGTTGTTGGTGTAGGTGCCTGGTTGGTCTATTGGCATTCTTTTCCTCCCACCCAAATACTACACATGTTTGAATTTCTATGAAGATCTTAAAAATTTGCATTCTCGTTCCGCTTGGTCAGTTCATATTCTATGAATGTTTATAATAACATAGTTGCACTAACTGCTAAAGTATAGTAAACTTCCAAAAATGGTGGTGTTTTAACACAGATTAACTTTCTAAGGAATAATATTCGGAATGGCTTAAATAAAGAGAAAGTAATCAAATAGTCAAAATAATAATCACTTTTTTTTGTCCAATACATTGTACAGCACGAAGATTGGGAGGTCTCCCCTTTCTCCGCAAAATGGTGAATATTGCAACTGTTACAGTTCGCTGCAAAACAAGCAACGGACCCTCTTTTTTTTTTTTTTTTTTTTTTTTTTTTTGTCGTCATTTTCCAATCTGGATTGAATAGGACTAAAAGTTCTGCGGTCTACTAACCCAAGCAAAGAATGATTCCATTCTGGAAATTTAACGCCGTCTGTTGAAAGTTAGAATGGAAAACACCCCAGTTATTTAGTTCTTTATTCTCCCAATACTGCAGTGTTGATTCCAATTGCGTAATGTCACGAGGAAGAAGTACGGCGACGTATTGCACAATAACGTTTGCGATATTTTACGGAGATGATTATTTGATGTTCAGTCCGAAATTGTTTATGAACACTTAAAAGAGTTTTACTGTGCGTCCTAAGCAGAATGTTTTTCAGTTCCATTGGTTTATTTTTATATAATGCACATATCAAAGTGTCAAAAGCACTTATTTAGTGGAAAAATCTAAAGAGTGGCTACAGTCTACCCCCCCTCCACTCCTCTTTTTCAAGTTACGCTCGACTCTCCGAATATTCGCCAATATCCAAGTATGCGGTTTAGTTAAGCTTTTGCTGTTAAAGGATGACTGCATGAAGAAAATTTCTGTCTTCTGATCAGAAATGTTCCTCTTTTACTTAAATACTTTGCTTGAAATTTAAGGGAAAACTGATATACGATGATGAAAATTAAAAAAATTTAAGAATTAGATTTTAAATAGTTATATGAGTGGAAAAATAAATTGTATTATTATAAGTTGGGAAATAATAAATATGCCTTATTATTATTATTTCTCTATTTGAACTGAAATTCATCAATAAATCTTGTAAATAGTTTAGTTCTGCATAGTTTTTTTCTCTCATTGTAAACTATTCTGTAAATTGAACTATCATTTAAAATTAAAAACAAAAAAAAAAGTAATTATTTCCATGGTTGAGGTATCCTGATTATCTCTTAATAAGGACTTATTTCTCTATTTTAAATTACAGTCTTAATTTTAAGGTTATGCAGTTGTGTATGATGTAATTAGAGGGTGCTTTTTTTTTTTTTTTTTTTTTTTTTTTTTTTCCTTAAAAGTGCTTGAAAAGTGCATAGGGTATTTTTTAACTAAAATGTGGCTATAAACCCTGCTAATTTTGCTTACAATTTTGACCAGTTTATTTTAGATAGCTTTTTTTTCTTATGTGTCATCCAGTGTTAAATGTAATTCAGACACTTTAACTATATTATGAAAAATAAATACTTTGTATCTATTGTGATAAGGTTTTTCATTGTAGAAGCTGTACGCTGTTTGTGATCTGGCATTGAGCTTAATTATATCAAAGAAAAATATTTCTCTGAAGGATTTTCCTGCTGAACCCTCACTTAATAAAAAATTTTTCACTAGCCCGGATATGGTAAGCTCATTATGTTTTTCAGCAGGACTCTTAAACCTCTAACCAACCAAGGTAGGCTTCAAAACCCCAAATTCTCTAAAAATTTCGTGATTAAAATACCAAAGGTCCTGTATTTTATACTGCAAGAGATTATATTATATATATATATATATATATCTATTATTATTATTATTATTATTTTAATTTTTGGGCATACTTCAGGATCTATTTAAAGATGTTACAAAAATATTCTAGGCCATATATAATGTACGGCCTTGTTGGTTGGAGAGTTAAATCTGAATTGCTGTATATTGTGTGCTGGGAAAATTGAGATTTGCACAACATTTATTAAATTTAGCTTTATTTAATTTGTTAATTACATGATATTCTTGTTACTTTTTTATTACTGATATAAAATAATTCTAAAATTTATTGTTATAGCACACATGCAGTATCTTTTAAAAAATAATTTAAATAAAAGTTTTATGTTGCTCATCAAAATTAAAAATATTGGCAAAAATAAAATTGACTGTTATTCATTGAAAACAATTTGTACAGAAGTAAGTCAAATTTATAAAAATTTAGATTTGGTCTCTGCTAAAAAAATTTCTTATTCTGTTGTGTGGTTGCTTCTGATAAAAATGCAAACTTCTGTTCTCTGTTTCTTGAAATATACTGAATTTCAGATCAAGTCTTGTAGAATTGCACACTGCTTTTCTGAAAGTGCATTTTTCAGATTCTGAAGGATTTAGAAAAGCATTTGTTGTGCTGAAGTTTTCCGGCATAAGGTATCCACACAGACTTCTCAGGTGACAGATCTAGTGAGTAAGCTGGCCAATCTATTTGAATGGCACCTTCTGTGTTTAATTGTTCTGATGTAAGAGATGCTCGAAGCATGCAAACACTGTCATTTGCTTGCAAAAAATCTGCATCCACAGCACCCCTAAACAACCTTACATAGGGTTTCAAGACTTCACCAACATATATGTGCTAGAAACAGAACATCTGTTAAAAATATACAGCTGGGTGTGGCCATTTTTTTATTTTTCCATCTTCTGAATAAGTTAGGTATTTTATAACTAAGGAAAGGTAAATTCTGTGTTCTTTGCTGGCTCCAAATCAAAATATACCTACAATCATACTTCAGACTATATCAAGACTGGCCAACCAACAGTGCATGGTTTCATTCCTCTTCTCTTCATTAAACGTAACATGACACTACCTTAAATAAGCCACATGGAAAGTGAATTGAGTGTCACATTCCAGATCAAAAAGCATTTAAAATTACAATTTAGAATATATCTGGGATTTCTCAGTGAACAATATATGGTCCATTTAGTTTTGTCTGTGATGAACTTGACAACGGCACCACCTTTAATGGACTACTTTGGAGTATGAAATGAGTAGGTGGCTGTCTGAAGGTGTAAGACCAGTTCTTTTATTATAGTTTCATTGTTTCTTCAACAGACAGTGGCAAAAAAAAATGGTCTTCTGATGCAGTTTTTGTTCTTAGCTGTCCTTGACTAAACTGTCTACTAAAATATTTGCTGTTTAAATGTTGTTCCAAGTTTTCTATATGATACTTTAAGAGATATTCAGATCTTGGTAACCTCAATGTATCAGTTAACTGCCATTTTTGTCCTTAAATGATACCTACTTAATGAATACTGATCACTCTCAGAAACCACATAAACTTTAAACAAAATTATGCACCCAAATTCCAAAATGCACCTACTGCACAATACAGTACATATTCCACGTGCTAATTTATGCCCAGAAGTTCAATTTTGCTTTCAGTTGTGGGTAATTAACAAGAATAATTGCACCATTTGATGTTGGTTGAAAACTTTATCAGTAAGCATATTATTTTAGATAATTCTTTAATTTTGATGAGCAGTGTAGAAACTGGTGTAACAAGTGAACCAATTGCAGTGGATCTGTTTGCGAAATGATGGTATATTAAACGAATAATTAGATCTGTATATGCTTAGAATTTTAATAGCTTTGGTGTTGACAATGTTATAGTAAAAACATAAACAAGCAGCTTGTGAGAGCAGTGAAGTTATATCTAGAAAGAATATTTTCAAATGAAATTATCTAAGAAAGTTACTTGCAGAAATGGTTGTTTTACATGTGTATTAAGTAAGTTTTATGCCTGGTGCAATAGGGCAAGATATGTGCTTAAAATTAATTTATCAGTTTCCTACCTAGTTTTCCTTAACTTTAACCCCTTAACTGCCATGGAAAAAGGACAAGATTCACTCCCCAGTGCCACCCCTTTTTTACTTAGGCATGCATAGTTATGCGATGTATTGGAGGGAAATAAGTGCAAGTTTTGCTGTCTAAAAACTGTTTTTACTTTCACAAAATAAAGAATAAAAGAAAAAATGAAAAGACAAAATTTAATGTTAAAGCAAAAGTATAATAAAAACGATATTTGTATAATAAAAATGATCCAAAAAAGTGGAGTTTCGATCAATTTATTTTTAGACCAGCAAAGTGTAATATCAGGTTTCAATGCTATACCTTATAAAATCGGTATACCTAAAAATACATACTGTATTTCTTCTGAATTGGTTGGATGTCATAGGCAAGTTTTTCATATCAGATCGTATCCAACATTGAGCATCTTTCAGCGAATAGTCGCAATCCTGTATCTGATCTAATATCATATTCTGAGGTGTCCGATTCTGAAGATGACAGAAAGTTATCATGTATTCCACTGTCATCACGTACAGACATATTCGTAAAAAAAAGCACCTATTACTAACAGTAGACGAAAACAGAAGACACATAATAAAAAAATACGTTTTACTCAAACAAAAACATGAGCATAATCATACAGTCATTACCGTTTAAGAAACATTTCCATCTCGAATTCTTCCCCCTCTCTTCTCTGAAATAGTATCCTTCTTCGCGTACTCTGTCAAAGTCATTGTGGTGTTGCGTTCCAAAGCTTTGCGAATAATTTTACTGATAGCAACGCAAAGCAAATGATAGTATTTCAGCAGGGCGTATATATACGCCAGCGACAGTTAAAGGCTTAATGCCATAGTGATCCCTGAAAGATTAATTTTCTGCAGAAAATAATGTTTTCTCACAGCCTTCAAACGATCTGTAAACGGCATCTTTCAAACTGTCATCACTAGATCATGTAAATGCTGTTTCAGTTTTTTAGAACAAAGTTATTTGAGGCTGAGTCTTGTGAATACAGTGGATATGGGAAAGGCACTGAAATCTGCTTTACTGATTAGCAATTTGGAAATCTGAGCTTTGTGTGCTGGAACATTGTCATGCAAACATCATTTTCTGCTGAGTTTCCTAATGTGGTTTTTATCTTTTTGCATATCAAGGTTGAATCGACATGTTAGAATAATAAATACCTGATGTCATAATATTATATGACATATAATTCATAATTATATGCACCTCAATTAATAAGCACCCTTTTAAAACTTAGTATGGGGAGTATTCCAAACTACCTTCATAGATTTCTGGGTTGTTGAAATGAGGGAGATCCACAGCTTCCACAACTCCATCTCATGTCTTAGCAATGAATAAAATTTTTTGTTTGTCATTTGTTATTGAAAACTGTTTTTCAGAACATTAAAAACTACGTTTTTTGCATCAGCATTCTGGGTACGCCATCTGATGCAGACCTTCAGTGTACCCAGCCTTTGATGCAAGATTCGATTCATGAATCTAATGCTGATGCCTCTTTTCATAATAATATCAGAAACTGTCACTTTTCTTTTTCCCATTCCTCAAAATCTTACTTTAGAAATTGGGTAGGGGAAGTAAATAAATAAATTTTGTAACATATTTTATTGTATGTAAGTCATTTTGTTTTCTTCTTGGTTGAATTCTAATCCCCCACCAGTTGATTATCCCTCCCTCTTTTTGTTTTGGTCTGGCATTTCATTTCTGGCTGTGTGTAAAATGATTGCATACCTTTGCATTGTGCATAATGTAAACTTGAAATGTTCTTGACCAGTTTTACATCACCAGCTTGTAAAAGATTACAGTACACATATTTTTATTTTTTAATACACTATCAACCGTGTAATTCTTTTTTTGAAACTAGGTAAATGCACATATTTGCATAGACCAATGGGATATAGCATATTACTCAAGTTTAGCATTTTTTCCTAACTTGTACTGAGTATTTAGCATAATTAAGCAGGAAAACTGTTTTTTTCCTTGTTCTTTGTTATTGATTTTAGAAATATTCAAAATGGGAGTCTTCCTCCCTCTTCAGTAAAATAAAAAATAAATTTATGACTTTTCTTATGGTATTATAAATTCAAATTTAAACTATGTAACACAATTAACACCCAGATGTTTATGTTGGAACTAAACATAAATATTCAAGGGTAAATAACTAGTGTTAAGAAGTTTTAGTTTAAGAATAAATTCTTTATTATTCTTTCATATAGGTAGAGTTAGATACAAACACACAATACATGTTTATCCAAGATACTGTTCCTGGATTTAATGCACACAAAACTGATGGCAGCGTGATAGAATTTATTTTCCCAAAAGAAAATCTTTACTTTCCACAAAAGTACTTACTCGTACAGCTCTTCTCAGTTAACAGAGCCCAATCAGTAGTTACCACTTCAAACTACCGAGAGCATTTAAACACAACTCAATGCAATGCAAGCACACTTAAAAAACGAAGATCGTGCAAAGATATATCAGTACTTCGAAGCTCACTCTGAACTAAAAACTGAGAACTGATGCTCTCTCTGGCCTTTTGTAGTTTTCCTCAGATGCTAGGAAATCTCCATTACCTTCCATTTGTTGAAATTACTGGAAGACATATATGGTTAAAGTTACGTGCAGTAACATATATGGACTGTATCCGGCTACAGTTATATATAGGGATTAATTGCAGTACCAATTGCTGTTATACAAAGGTTACGGACAAAAATGTCACTAAGTTTGGCAACTTTTGGCAATTTCTTGCCAAATTTAGCGACAAAAATCGGTTGCCAAAACCATTGCCATCTTGGCAATATCTCCCTAAATGTAGCAAGATAACAATTTACCTGAATGCTAAAGCATTTTATGTTACATTATGCATGAGATACTGCACTTTTATGTATAATTTGGCTAAAATTATTTACATTTATACAAAATTCATAACAGTACTTTTTCTTAATCTTAAATTTAAAATTGCATTTTTTGTCTTCTAAATGGATCTTATGAAATACTTTAAATATAAAATTTAATTAAATCTCCTATCTACTCAAATTTTCAATTCATCATTTAGTAACACTTTATATTTACATTATTTTTTGCATAGTTATTTTGCTGTGAGATAGTGAACCATTACTGAATATAAAGCAAATAGAATTATCATTAGTTTGGTTATTAGTATTAGCTTAAATCAGTTGAAAATTTTTCTGTAAAATATTTACAATAAATCTTTTGAAATTTTATTCTAAAGTTTTACGAGTATCACTGAGTTAATTGCCCAAACTTTAACTATAGGGGGAGGGAAGTCTTTCAAGCATAATAGCATAATACCTGTTTACAGATTAAATAAAAAGTGTATTTCTTATCTAGGAAGAGAGTAAGTATAAAACTGATAAGTAGATGGCACAAAATAAATGTTTTAAATGTAGAATTTTTTAAAAGAATTTATATGTATTTCTTGCCTAATAAATAATAAAAAAATTGCAATCATTAATTTATTTATTAATTTTTTTTAGAGCTATAGTAATTTGAAAACATATTTGCCTCCGGAACTCATTAACATTAAACCTCAAGTAAGTTTAATGTATTTTATTCCGTACACTTTTCATAGTGCAAATAAGGATTGTTGTTTCATTTTATGCATTTTATCATCATGAGTTTAATAACTTTAGAATCTAGAAATTAATAACTTTCAAACTGTGCATATAAATAAATTCTTGGTTCAGAAAATAGTGCTGGGAAAACTTTTGGGAAGGATTGTGTTTCAATGCTCTTTAGCAGGTATTTTAGGAATGTGATTTGCAGGAGAGATTGTGACTTACATGGATGCCTTTTTTGAATGAACTGTTACATTGTTATACCCATATTCATGATATTTTGAGCACCTTGTTGAGTTTAGAATGATCTTTTAAATCTCAATGCCTTCCTTACTTTTTTTTTAAATTCAATTTTAATTTAAGAAGCAAAACTTAAGTTTTTAAAATTTGCCTGTGTTCTGCTTTCTTTTTTTTGTGCAGCAAAAATTTCTGCTTTTGGAGCTAATGAAATTATGTTAATAAAGTTTAATATTTCTATAGGGAAACTAAGAAAACAGTTACTATGAAATTGTTTTTGCTGTGTAAAAAATAAAATGGGATTATATTTCACTCTTGAAGCCGATGGTTTTGTGTATGATTAATATTTGGTGTTTTATTTACTTTATGCATATTACAGTGAATGTAAAAGTTTTTTTATGTTCTCTTGGGGAACACGCATGCTTTTTCTGACATAAGGAGAATATTTTGATAATATAGTATATGTATTTTAAATTGACCATTAAAATAATTATTTCAAAAATTATGGGAAATATTTTATATATAAATTTCTGAAGACCTAAAAAAGTAACAAATTCTGTAAATAAATTCATTCAGCTTTTGAAAATTTTAATGCTTTGTAGGAAACCTCTTTGATGTGTTTATTTTTTTCAGTGAGCACATAGCTTATTTCAGGTTTTGACAAAATAGAAAATATTACTTGAGAGAAACATTTGTTGCAAGTCTCAGATGCAAAGGATCCAATAAGTTTCTATTTTGTTAAATAGATGGACAAGTCTCCACATTAACATTGATTTTAAATGAAAAGTCTTGATTTTTTCCCATGTGATTTCACTTTGTCATTTTAAACAACCATTTTAAGTATAAGATCTAAGCTCTGTTAATAGATCTTGGTCTTTAAATGTTCTTAATTTTGGCCAAAATTTGTAAGAGACCTTTAATTTTGCTCATCTGTCATTTCTGCTATTTTGAGAATAAATTAACATTTTGGATGAATCTAAAATTCAAGCCTGGAAATACTTTTGTCTCTGTCGATGGTTGTAGAAATGTGTGATGCGCATCACCCAAAATTGGTTCGCATGTCATTTATGACATATATGCTTCTCTCTCTTAGTTCAGATATACAGTGTCTCACAAAAGTGATGGAACACTTGTGCCTTACAAAAGGAAACTGTAGTAAAATAAATTAAAAAGCATGTAAAAAATTTTTGTGGGTGTGTTTCATACTTAAATTTAGTAGCAATTATTACGTAACATACATTTTCTCAAAATATTAAAACATTAATTTAATAAAAATACAATTGTTTAGAACGGAGCAAAAAATGGCTCAAATAAGTGATGGGACACTTACTTTTCTATCAAATATTTATCCAAAAATTTTATTTTTTAAAGGGTTTTAATATTTTGTTGGATTTCCTTTTACTTTTAAAACATGATTTAATCTTCTTGGGGTGGATTCGACTAATTTTTTTGTGATTTCTGGAGTGATTTTACCCCATTCTTAAAGCCCCGATTATAATTGTTGTTTTGAAGAAATGGTGTGTTTGCGAATTCTTGATTCCAATTCTTGCCAAATATTCTCTATGGGATTTAAGTCTGGAGATTGTGGTGGTGTTTTTATTATTTCAGGACAGTTATACAGCAGCCAGAGTCTAATGTTCAAATCATTGTGCGTGTGGTTATTGTCCTGGTAGAAGTTAAAATCGTTATGAAGGTTCAATTTTTGGGCTGAAGATTTCAAATTTTGATTTAAAATGTCAATATACTTGTACCAATCCATTATACTGTCAGTAAAAACAAGAGTACCAACTTCAGCGGACGACATACACCTCCATACTATAACTCATCCTCCACCATGTTTTACTGTTGGCACCAAGTTCTGTTTTCGAAATTCTTTTTTGGGTTTTCTCCACACCAAGATTCTACCGTCAGAACCAAATATATTAAATTTACTCTCATCAGCAAATATAACTTCATTCCAGCAATCAGAATTCTTATTTACGTTGGATTTTGCGAAAGCCAGTCTGAGTTTTCTATTCTTTTCACTTACAAAGAATTTTTTCCTGGCTGCTCTACCGTAATATCCATCAGATTGAATTACTCTTCTAATAGTCTCAGGATTAGCAATTACTCCATATAATGCTTGTAAATCAGCAGCAACTTTAGGAGCACTCATTCTTTTTTTTTTTTTTTCTTTTTTTCTTTTTTAATATTTCGAACAATAATTCGCTTTATTCCATTGGATAGCTTTGATGGTCGGTCAGGTCTTCTTTTATCCTGAATCATATGATTCTTTTTATATCATTTAATGATATTGAAAACTGTTGAATGACTCAAGTTAAATGTTTCAGCAGTTTCTCTAATAGATTTTCCACGTTCAATATGCAAATTAATAACTAATTTTCGAATTTCAGGCAAAGTTTCTTTTCTTTTAGCATTCGTGGCTGCACAGAGCTAAAAAACACAAAAATTCCAAAACAAACTGGAGAGAAATACTGCAGACGATTTTATAAATTATTGCCAATTGCTTTTGAGTAAAAATAAAATCCCCCAAAAATATTTTTACTGTAGTACGTAGTAGTATCTAATGGTGTCCCATCACTTATGTGAGCCAATTTTTGCTCCGTTTTAAACAATTGTATTTTTATTAAATTAATATTTTAATATTTTGAGAAAATGTATGTTATGTAATAATTGTTACTAGATTTAAGTATGAAACACACCCACAAAACATTTTTACATGTTTTTTAAATTTATTTTATTACAGTTTACTTTTGTAAAGCACAAGTGTCCCATCACTTTTGTGAGACACTGTATTGAGAAAAAGCCTGCCCATTCTTTAGTAACAGTTATACCTTTTATATTTTATAATGTAATAAACCTTTCATATTTTATAATATAAGAAGAAGGAACAATGACATCATGCTATCAGAATACAGAAGCTGAGAAAAAATCCATAGATTATAATATGGGTGTTAGAAATGCTGTTGTGTCACTTTATTGGTTATTTCAGGTTTTGGTTTGCAAAATTTAGTAACATTTTGTCTTTAGGATAGAAAAAGAAATAATAGTATTAAAAAGAAAATTTAAGGGCCTGTTCCAAATTACCATTTGAATTTTATTTAATATATTATTTATCTTGTGCATGCATGTACATATATATATAATATAGCACAGTTTAAGATCCGTATCGGAATTTTGGATGATTCCAGATTTTAGGTTCATTAGTTTAAATTCATAAAGATGATGTGTAAAAGTAACAAAAGTAAAAATATGAAATTTATCTATGAAATAATGAAATATTATCTTAAGGGGATCAATGTTTGAATATTTCTTTCAGTATAAGTTGTGTAAGCTGCTTAGTTTTTTTTCCCTGTAACTACCATGTTGACAGTTCATACTAAACTATCAGTCAAAGCTTTTCATTCTCAAAAATCTCCATCATTTTTTTCATTATCAGTAGAAATAATTTTCTGGATTAGTTGATTGCTAATTGGGGCATTGTCATCGCAATGGAGAACTTCTGTTATATCATCATTTATTATCGTTTTGTTGTGTTGAGCATTAGCATGTAAGGTGTATTAAGTGCGTTTCCTCTATTTAGCACAGTTTTAATCAAAAAATCATAGGTCAAAATAACTATGAAATCTTTATTTAACACGTATGGGAATTCTTCTTAAGTAGAACACCAATTAAAGAACGATCTTCTCAGACATTAAAAATTGAAGTATTGAAAAGAATAATTTACATACAATCATCATCATTCCTAAATTATCAGGCTATTTAGGCAATAAAAAGAAACATACTTTGATGCAGTACCTGAAAATGCACTTTCTGGGTTAGACCATTGGCCCAGGTATAAGTAGCTAAGGTGAGAATCGAACCTTCGCTTTCTTTCACCAAAATATCTTGGCGCACGTTTGTTTTCTATGCTTTTGAGTTTCACTATGCAAAAATACTTGAATTTATACTAACATTGTCCCCGTTTTGCTAATGAAACTCATATCAATTGCAGTTCACTCTTGGAAAACTGAAATTTAGCTTTAGGAATTGATTTGGTCTGTAACGTCTTAAGCTATTTTATCGACCACCACAAGTTCTGAGAAAAGGAATGACCTCCTCGAAAGTTCCCACGGGCAGAGTATTTCTTAGCGAATTCTCGGAAAGAGGAAGTGACCAGCAGTCACAAAACAATCTCAGCTTTTTTGTCTCTCTTTTTGTTAGTTGTTCGAAAGGAGACATTGTTCAGTTTGCTTTCATCAGTTTATAGGTTCAGTGTCTCAGACCACCCGGTTTGAGACCCCCAGTTGGAATCGAAAAGTACCCACGGACTTTTTCCCAGGCTGTCTTCATCATATCCAGTTTTTAATCAAAGTGCTCTCGCCAATCAAGAGGCGTTTCTAAAAATTACGGACAAATAAGGATCCTAGAAGTTTTTCCGACACGCCCAGGACAACAAAATCATGGAACGCAGTTCCAGAGAGAGAGAAAAAAACAAGAGTTAGTTGCAGTAAGTAGAGAGAGAAACCTTCTCTCGGTTTTTTGCAGCTCGGCCACGAGCAAATTTTTGCTTCGCTCTGCGTAGAGCGATGCAAGCGATATCTCTGCCAAGAGATTTACAGCAAGGTAGCTGGGTTCGCTGCTACCTTACGAAGAGCATCCTGCTCGGACACAGCTCAGTCCTGCAACCACCGCCTTAGAGATTCCAGGGTTCGTAGCAGTCCTTATAAGTGGTTATAAGTCCTTATATTTGAAAATAAAATATAAAGGCCCTTATAGGTGCTTACTTTTTCTTTAAAGCCTTATTTTATTTTATTTATTTATTTATTTATTTTAGTGCTTTTTTTTTTTTTTTTTTTTTCCAAAGCCGGAACTAAATAAACAACTTTTCTTCCTAATATGGAATGTCAGATGGTGAATCATACTCCCAGATATAGCTTTTCCCCCTTTCTCTGCATTAACATAACCTTTGGTGTGCGCAGAGAGTATAGACCGGTGCCCGTTGTTCTGTTGGTCAAAGAATTGCGAAAGCAATAGAAAATTCCGGTACATTCGGCATTCTTTTCCTCTCTCACCCAAATACTACACATGTTTGAATTTCTATGAAGATCTTAAAAATTTGCATTCTCGTTCCGCTTGGTCAGTTCATATTCGTGTTTATTATGATCGTTATGCTTATATTATGAGCATATGTATGAATGTTTATAACAACATAGTTGCAGTAACTTCTGAAGTATAGTAAACTTCCAAAAATGGTTGTGTTTTAACACAGATTAGCTTTCTAAGGAATAATATTCGAAATGGCTTAAATAAAGGGAAAGTAATCGAATAGTCAAAATAATTTCATTTTTTTGTCCAATACATTATACAGTATGAAGGTTAGGAGGTTCTCCCCTTTCTCCGCAAAATCTCGAATATTGAAACTGTTACAGTTCGCTGCAAAACAAGCAACAGACCTTTCTTTCTTTCTCTTTCTCTTTTTTTTTTTTTTTTTTTTTGTTTTTTGTTTTGTTTTGTTTGTTTGTTTGTTTGTCACTTTCCAATCTGGATTGAATAGGACTAAAAGTTCTGCCGTCTACCAACCCAAGCGAAGAATGATTCTATTCCGGAAATTTAACGCAGTCTGTTGAAAATTAGAATGAAAAACACCCCATATTGGTAAGTCTCTTTTCCTTTACTTAGTTCTTTATTCTCCCAATACCGGCAGCTGTTGAATCCTATTGCGTAATATCATGTAGGGAAGAATTATGGCACATGTATTGCGGCGATATTTTGCAGAGATAATTAATTTTGATGTTCGGTCTGAGATTTGTTTATGAACACTTAAAAGAGGTTTACTGCGCTTGCAAAGCAGAATATTTTTCTCTTACGTTGGGTTGTTTTTATATGATGATTTTTATATGACTGGTTTCACTTGTAGGCAGCTTTGAAGTAGGTTGCTTTAATTCTGGACACCCTGTTTGTATAAAAACACGTACATTGACATCCTATATATGTAAAGAAACTGTTAAATGAAAAAAAAAAATGATTTTTCTACTATTATTTTAATGTACCTTAATGTAATAAATATAAAGTACAGTACAAAGTCCATAATCCGGACTCGGGACTTCGCCGATTTCATTTTTTTCTGGATTATAGATTATCAATTTAAATCTGGTGAGATGGCATGCAGAAATTATACAATAAAAAGTATGAAACCATAATTTAAGAAATAAAGAGCAATTAAAATCTAAAGAGTATCAAAATTTACCAAAAAAAAAAAAAAAAAGAGCTTAATATTTGTTTATTTTAGTAAACATTTCTCTCAATGTGTAAGTTGTTTAAGTTGCTTCGTTTTTTGTGCTAATACTTTCTCCTTTCTCTTTAATTCTATAAACAGATATAATTTCTTGTTCAGTTACAAAGTTCCACTGTTCAAGTCCTGTAATTGCTGTGTTGAGAGTACCGACTAACTTGTCAATCGAAATTTTTTCGTTTTCAGTAACGTTCTCTGTTACTTTCTTCACTATCGGAAGCGCGCATGGGTAAATGCTTTACTGGCTTTACGCGCATGCATAAGTTTGTGGCTTTGAGGTTCGGATTATAGATCATTCCGGATAATGGACATCTGGATTAGAGATGTTATACTGTATATTCTGTTTAACTGTTTGAAGTATTTTTTAAATAATTGTATTGAAATATTGATGCACTAATTTTATCAGATTACACATCTTAAATTTTATTTTGCAGGTAACAGGTATTGAAATAGACATATTTGAAGCATCTACATCATCAGTAATTAATGGTCCTGTTGACCAGGATGAAGTTACTACTAATTCTGATGTTTCAGAGAAGAGTGGCAAAACATCTGATATTAGACCTATGTAAGCACTTTTTATTGCAGTGTAAACAATATATTTTCAATGATTTTAGTTATTTTATTTGGTATTCATATGATTTTTCTTTGAACAGGAATGGTGAAGCAGAATCACAAAATGTGTCAAGCAAGTCTCAAGTTTCATCTCACAGGCTACGACCTAAAAAAAGAAGAGATGATTCAAGCACTGAGAGCAGACATGAAGACTCTTCTAATGTGTCATCAGTGCCATCTGTTAATACTGCTTGTGACATTTCTCATAATTCAGATAAGTTATCAGAAGCTTCTGAACAAATATCTATCATTCATCCATGGAGTGGGAGTAGTGCAACATCTCTGCATTCTTCAGCTGATAATTGTGCTGGAAATAAACTTGAGCATGAGCGAAAATCTGAAGTGCGGACTAGATTAAAACGCTCTCCTCGCTTAATGGAACTAAGAAAGTCATCTTCAATAAAAGATACTGAATCTAATAAACAGAATGGTTCTGTGTCCTCCTGTGAAACTAACATAAATTATCTCTGTGACTTAGATATACGAAGTCTAATAAAAGAATGCAATGTCCTTTTAAATAAAGATGATGTGGAAAGGTATACAGGTAGTTCTTTCTCAGCTTCTTCAGGAAGCATTATTCTTACTGATAGAAAACAAACTAATTTTAAACGTACATCATCAGTGGCCAGTTCTGATTCTGATAGTGTCAACCAGTCTACAGGAGGCCAGGCTGTAAAGAAAAGAAGACGTAAGCAAGTCAGAAATCAGGAACTTAATCATCCATCTCCAATGGTGCTCAAAAGGTAGATTTAATCATTAATCCAGGAATACTTTTAATGAAGATTTTGCATACTTAAATATTTAAATTAATTAATTGGTGAAATTTAGCGAATTGTTTCAAACATTCAAATATATTCATTGAAAATATTTATTGGTTTAATTTTCAACAAAAATTGCATTTCAAACCAAGCTTGTTCAAGAGTTATGCAATGTGTAATACATTATAAGTCAGATTATACATGGTTTTATGGTAACTATTATAATTCTACAAGATAAGAGTTTAGTTTGATAGATATTTTTCCTAAAAAGTGATCGTTTTGCTACTGATAGCTTTCATAATAAATGTTTCGTGAATACATAATAATACAAAAATCTCAGTCACTTGTTTCTGTAAGGAATGAATTGTTTTATAAATATCTTTTGTTGAACCTTATCTAATTTTAAATTTATTGATTATAATTCTTAACCTTTTATAGGCTGAAATCAAAATCAGAATAACTTTTTTGTTTGTTTGTTTGTTGGTTTGTTTATTCCACCTTAATGCTCTAATTTAAATGTATATCATCCTACTTCATATTAAAAAGTAAGTCTTAATGATTTACTTAGCATCTTAATAATTTACTGATATATTTCTTGAGATGCATTTAAAGTAGTGAGCATGTGGGACATATATGTTCCAGCCCTCTGGAAAAGGTTAAAGCATTCCTTCTCTTAGGCAGATGGCCTTAGTGGCTTTGCCATATTGAAATAACCTAACCTAACCCACTTTTACAAAATAGTGGCTACTGGCCAGTGTTCCACATTCGGAACATGCACGTTTAATGAATTATAGCAAATGTTTTTCTTATTAATATCAGTGCATCATATTTTTTTCTGTTAAAGTAAACCTTTTAATAGAAATATTAAATAATTTTTCAATTTTATATGTATTTTAAGTTGTGCTGTATGAAAAAGGAAGGCGATATTTCTCAATTTCTTTGCACTGCTTGTTTTATATCTAAAACCTGATTATTGTATTAGAAAAATCAAGGCATCTTTCATCTATAAATGACAGCTTTTTCAAGAAAATATGAATGAAATTTTATTTTTAAATGCATACTTAATCTGATGTTCTAATCTGGGAACACTGGTTTGTAAAAGGTTAATTTTATACAAATTGTTTAAAATAGATTGCAACTATTTGATAAAAGTAAAAATTTTATTTCTGAATTAACTGAACTATAACCAAGTTACTTTTGATTTGAAAGGAATATTAATTCATTTATTGCATTATATGAAAGTTTTTACGTACATATGTATTAAATTATGATGAAATAATTATTTATACTTTTTTGCATTAATGCAAAAAAATATATATATTAAATTTTAATTAATATCTCTTTAAAAATACTTTTATTTTTGTATTGGTGTACAAACAATAATTACATAGCTTTAAATTCACTATTAATGGTCAAGTTTTTGTGAATATTTTTCATATTTGAATATTATTGTGGAAATTTTATTAATTATGGTCTATTTTAAAAGCTACAGATCTTGGAAAAAATTACTGCTAATTTAAGATGAATATCTCTAATATTTGTAGTCTTCAATCTAAAACTGTAAACAGAAATGCTAGCTATCTGTAAAATTATTTATTAACAGAGCACAGGAACAGTTACAAAGAAAATGTATATCAGAACATACACTGAAACGAAACACATTTAGAATTAACACTTAAAATTAATGTTAGAATTACGGAAACATAATAATGAACAAACTATCCTCATCATAGCTGGAAATCAACTGAATGTAAGTTGTTACTGTTGCCACTGTATGGTGTTCAGTAAAATAGTTCTGTTACAAATCTTAATTTTTTTGGAATAATTATTTATTGGTCATTTCTGTCATATATAATTTTAGGAAACGGGAATCCTCACCTTCTGTGCGCTCTGTTCGAGCTAAAACCTTTAGTTCTGTAAAAAATACACAATCTGCCAAAGAAACAAGTATGTTAACCAAGTCAAGCACTCCTCTTTCTTCCAAACTATCTCCAAAAATCAATAATTCAGTAAAAAAAAAGTAAGTATATAATGCATTTGAACATATACACTCTGCCTCAAAAGTTTGCAGACTATTATTATTTTAACAACTTGTGATCAATTTCAAATTAATACTTCAAAGTTGCCCCATTATTCTGTCAAATACATGTTTCTTTATCGAGAGAACTATGTTTTCTAATAACTCTGGTTCCACATTATACCATGTATTCTCGATGGCTGCTTTTAAGACATTCTCGAAAGAAAACTGCCTGCAATTCTCGTGAACTCTCGGAGACATAACACATAACATTCGTTTACTGAATTGTAATAATATGTTGAATTTGTACGTCCTTTAAGTGTTTCGGATATGTTGACACCCCATGCGCATGCTCGTGTTACATAATACAATGCGCATCCTCCCGGGTTAAACAAAGAGGTTTTCATTACCAGCACAATTGTTGAATGTAAGCCAGGTTGGAGAAATATCTCATCATATTTTCTTTTTCACATCTTAGATGCCTCCTTCTGATTATTAGATCCTTCTTGAAGGGAAGTTGTAGCATTGCCATCTTTGTCATTATATTTGTTATGCTAGTTCAACCATTTATCCATATGTAAAAAATATTTTATCGTAAAATTTAAATATAATAACATATCTCATAATAATTATTCAAATAAATACTAACCTTAGATGAATAAAATAGTAAAATATAATATTGTATTGTTCTTGTGTCATTTGTTGTGATGAAACAGAATTGAACTATACTGGAAAAGCACTACACTACTCACAGTAACCCCGGCTGACTCTCAGCATGCGTGTGCATCTGTGGCGTACTTTAACTCTGAAATAACTTATATGCTGAAACTATAATGCAGTCACTGTTATGATGCATTTAGTGGTATTTTTCAATATGTAAATATAATTTACAACTCAACTTGGCCCGTATAAATTTTTATAACTGTTCTGTACAGAAAACGTATATTGAAGCTTTGCTATCCCATCTGGGATCACGACCCACAGTTTAAGAAATGCTGCTATAGAACAGTCTTTGCTTACTAAATTATAATGCTATTTTTTAATGTTTAAATAAATACCTGTTAAAAATACTATTCGTGTGGTAACTGGGAAATAATCACTTGCAAAATTATAGAAATTATTCACAACAACATTTATTTTTGATTATATTATCATGAGTTTGCAAGCAACAGTTGGCTAGAAAACTGCCGTCTTTTGTATGAAAATTGTATAATCAGGTAATATATCATCATTTACCAAGTGATCCAGAACTATGTAAGTTATGGATTGTCTGCTGCAATAGAGCTGAGAATTTTAATATTGAAAATTCAAGAATATGTTCCCTTTATTTTATACCTGATGATTACATGCAAGATTTAAAGACAGAGTTACTTGTAACTTTTAAAAGGGTACTAAAAGCTAATTCTGTCTGCACTACATCGTGGAGATAATTTGCAAAACAGAATAGGTTCTTTATGGTGTATATGTCAAAAATTGATGGCAATCTAGAAATATTTCCAGCAATTTCGGTAATAATGATTCATCAAATTCTATACAGGAAAGCTTTAGAGCAAGCGTCACTCTTGCAAAAGAAGGAAATGAGCTTTGTAAAATTTGGCTTCACTTTTCTAAGAAAGAAAAGGGTACAAGATCCTGATAAGGTAGACTATGGAAATCAATATGTGTGCAGTACACAACTGAAATAGCTCACCATGTGAAAATTTTAGAAAAAAAAATAAGAGTTGTTGTATTGTCAATAAAAAATAAAGAAAATTATTATTACTATACTTACTGCTGCTGCATAACTTTTAGGAAAAAGAGTAAAAAATAACAAGTGCACAATTAGAGTTAAAAATTTTTAGGAACGGTTCTAACAAATAATCAGATATGTTTATTGATTTGTATAAAAATTTTTTAAGAGGAATGCAGATGACATTTGTAAATTTGAATCACCTGAGAACATGCTACCTAGAAGATGCTACAACTACCAAAAATAATAAATATAAGAAAAAAGTAATTAAATACTGAATATTATTTTGAAGCACAGCAGTTTTAATTAGCACAGCACAATTAAGTATTTTAGAAACATATTACAGTACAAAGTCCGAAAAACGGACTTCTCGAGACTTCAGCAATTCTGGATTTGGTATTTTTCCGGATCTGAGATCATCAGTTTAAATCTAGTAAGATGGCATGTAGAAATTATAAAATTAAAAATATGAAATCATGATTTATGAAATACTGAAGTATTTATGATCTAAAGGGTATCAAAATTTACCAAAAAAAAAAAAAAACTTAATATTTATGTGTTTACCTTATTAAGCATTTCTTTCAATGTATGTTGTGTAAGTTGCTTCGTTTTTTTGTGCTAATACTTTCTCTTTAATTCTGTAGACAGACATAATCTCTTGTTTAGTTACATTGTTGAAGTCCTGTAGCTGCTATTCCGAGAATTCCGACTAACTTGTCGATCGAAATTTTCTCGTTTTAATAACTTCTCTGTCACTTGTTTACTATCGGTAGCGGTGTGATCTGGATCCAGAACTATACTACAGATTTTGCCATTCGTTAATTGATTGATGTTTGAAATGATAAACTTCTTTTGTATCGTCTTCATTTATTACCACTTCTCCACGTTTTTTTAAAAAAATCCGTTAAGTGCAAAATTTCACCTTTATTTTGCGATATCCGAAAACCTTTAAAATTAGCTGCTATGATCATCAAATTTAGCTATTCTTCACTATACATATTTGCCTATGCATCATGAGCTTGACGGCTAATGACAAGTTGTTCCGTTAAATTTTACCTTGTTTATATCACACACTGAGACAATTAAGCCTGAATTGTATTGGTTTAGTTATTTATTATATTTATGTCTATTTCTTGCACACATTTCTTTTAAGGCTTATCAGAGTTCTGTGGTGGCCTGCTTATTGAGGGCTGGTGCTAGATATCTTATTGCCTTATGCAGTCTCTGTGGGTCCTAAATTCTGTGACTCGATGCGGCCACACGAGCCCTGGCACTGATTCTGGGTTTATGCAAATAACAAATCAGTTATTCTTAATTCAAATAGCCCTAAATGTATTCTTTGGGTCTATGAGTATCATTATCAAAATCTATTTTTAGCATATGAAAAGAAATTTTTGGTAAATTTTTCCCCGTCAACGTATTTTAGTGCATTTAACTTAAATCTGTAATCATCGCCAAGCATAATGTCAACATAAAAGGTTACCACACTCCTTTATTATTCAATTACTAACATAAAAAATTTTTGAGCATCGCTACATGAGTCATTACTCAATTTGTCATGTTTTGATAAACATGCAGTGATGAAAGGAAAGTATGATAAATAATGATTCGCCAGGGTGGCGTCAGATCAACGATGTATCTATGTGGAATGTTTCGGTTTGAGATGTATGCCAAGCAGATATGCAGCAATGGAGCCAAATTACTGATCGTAAAAATTTATGCTAAAATGATTGTTTCTTCAATAGCAAGGTACTATTTTATTTAGTGTCGAAGTGAAATTAAGAATCGGGACTCTCTAGATGTTTTATTGTGCATGGAGGGGGAAGCAAATGCGCATGCGTAAAGCCTACAAGAAAACGTTGATGGTTTTGAGGTCCGGAATTCGGATATTGTACTGAATATAGAAACAATCTGACAGAATTACACTAGTAATTAAAATATTTAATATTTATGCAAGCTGAAATGGAATTAAGAATAAACAAAAGTTTTCTTTTTTATTCGTTCTTTATCTTCCTTTTTTTTAATTAATTAATTTATTTATTTGTATATGTGTGCACCTGAATGATGTCACTTCCAACGACTAATGGTAGTGTTTTTTTTTTTTTTCATTCCTGGCCTAACCTTTTGTAGTGAAGCAACTTGACCAGTAGCAGTATCATATAGCTGGAATATTGGAGAATGGGGTGCCAGATTACTGGCTATTTTTACTTTATTGAAATACTGGATAATTGGACTTCTACTATATAAAGAAATAGATCTAGTCATATATCAAAAACTTTTAAGTTATTAAACAGTTAAGGATACAAATCCTTCCAATAAAACGGTCACACACAGACATATATATATAAATATCAAGAGAATGGACTTTTGTTGAAATTGAAAGGAAAACATCCTGGAAATAAAACTAGTACAAAACCTCAGTTCCCCCCCACACACACACAATGTGTTCTTCTGTTGCACAAATGACTATGGAGCAAAAGTATGCTTTTAATCTTAATAAAATATATGAATTCAAGCCTAAGGTCTTGTTTCCGTATAGTTGCTGTGTGAAGCAATTAGTTATATCCAGTTACTGTTAACAATTAATTATGTCCTGTTTCCATATAAAATCTCTTAATTTGTAAGTCTAATTGTGCAGTCAGAAACATTGTCTGAATATGTTTAAGAGCACATCAGTTTTCTGATCATAATTGCAAATGCCAGCGTAAAAGGTTTTTTGGGAAGAATGCTGTATTATATGTATACAGCAATTAAGGTCTGACCTGTATTTCCAAAAGTAACTGGGCATCTCATGAGTCTGCCCAAAGCAGGGTTTGAATGTATATAAAAGCTCATCAGACTTTCACTGTGCATAAGAAATAACAGTGTAAATATTTTACTGATTTTTAAACATACCATATGATGCAGCAATTGTGACAAGTTGGTTGAGATAATTTTTGCCTTCATTTTGCTTTTTGCCTACCAGTGATGGAGCAGTAAAATCAGTAGGTTGGTTGTTGACCTGAGTTTCATTCCAGACATACAGGCTGATTGGATGGGCATTTTCACGATTTTCCCCTTGGATAAGGCAGATATGACCCAGTTTTCCTTAGAAAAATCTTTATGAAGGTATCCTTCTAGGTACCAGTGGCCAAGCAGTAAAGTCGCTGAACAGTAGTAGTTCGGTCTGAGGCTCGAATCCCACAAACGGACTGGCTGCATGGGCGTTTTTATAGTTTTCCCCATGTGTAATGTGTATATGAGCCAGTTTCCCTTAGAAAGTCCTGCACAGAGGCATCCCTCCAGAGACAGATATTAGGCCATTAGGCAGATAGCTCTCAAGGCTTTGTCATATTCTTGTAAAAAAAAACCAAAACCTCTTAGACAGATAGTGCTAGCAAGTTTTGCAGTAATCAAACAGACCAAACTTTATTTATCACAAGGTAATGTGATTTATTGTGATGTGGAAAGATCTAAAATAAGTATAACTCAGATTGTGAACTAGTAGTCACATTTCACTGAAATCATAGGTATTGCAGATTGTAGAAGTGATTTATTAAAATTAATCTCTAACCCTTTGCCAAGAAATTCTTGAGAATTGTAGAATTCAACGTAGTATTATATTAACGTTATTCATTAAGAGACGGAAAAAAGGTAAGAATTCAGTAGTCGTCACATACAAGACTGTATTCAATCAGTTTAGTCACAGAAATGTTGAGCAGAATTTGGACTAGAGTTAAATCTGCGTTTTTTAAAAACATATAATAACAATAATATTTTTGCTTGATTACAAAGTTACAATAATGAACATGCATTTTTATTTTTAAAAAATAAGAATTGTAATATGATTTCGAGGAGAAATTTTCCTCAAAAATCCATAATTACTTGGCAGAGATCTGGGAACACTGGTGTCATTCTCTTAGTTCACTCTCAATTGTAGCACTTTTTCAGTAGTGCAAGAATAGTTATACAGTGAAATAATTATCATTATAGATAAACAAAAATAAATTATTTCAAAATGTATGCAAAGAAAGCATGGATGTATCTAAAATGCAGACAAATTGATATGTACATTATGTACAGCAGTAATTCCCATCAGAACATATAATGTTAAGCGACACTTTTCTTCAAAACAAGATGTTAATGAAATGTCAAATGAAGAAAAATCTAACTACATTGCTAGAAATATATTAAATTTTGGAAAATAAAACAAATTGTTAAATCATTTTGTTACCTGCCACAATAGCACTGCAGCCGCTAGCTTTGTTGCAACTCTTAACATTAGTTCCAATGGAAAACCATTTACAGATAGTGAATTTTTTAAAAACGCGATCATGAATTGTGCTGAATACTTATTTGACAACTTTGCGTATAAAAAGAAATCATTAAGAGAATTAAAGATATGCCATTGTCAGTTAGATCGATTTCAGCATTGCATTGAAGATATGGCTGAAAATATTGATGAAAGTGCTGCTGTAAAATAGTATGGGTATGCTTGCAATTGGTATTAGATAAGCATCAATAAATAATTCAAAAGTCAATGAAGAACTTTGTGGTCTTGCTTCTGTGAATGACACAACCAAAGATATGAATGACTTTTATCGTCAAGTACAAAAGTTTGCCAATTTAAAAAATGGGCAACAATTGCCTTTAAAAGTAAATTGTTTTCCTTAATTGTTGATGGTGCTCCAGCTATGAAAGGATGAAATATTGGATTTGTAAAACTAATGAAAAATTAGATTGGGCATTCACTATTATCGTTTCATTTTATGATGCATAAAAAGAATTTGGAAACACATCTATGCAGCAACTTAAAGATGAATGGAAAAGGTTATTAAAATCATAAGCATGATAATACCATGATCAGCAGCAGTACACAGGTGTTTTTTTTTATTATTATTATTATTTATGAAAATTTAATCAAACTGTGGAGATTTGCTGTTCAAGACAAAATTCGTAGAGTGTTTTTATGAGATATAACTGTTTCTCCATGAAATTAATGAACATGATCTCGGTGAATGGTTTTTAAGGCTTTTATTCATAGACATTGTGAACCATTATAATGATTTTAACTTATGGTTCCAAAGAACAAATCACATAATTTCAAAAATATATGAGTAATGAAAGAGTTTTTCTTTGAGATTAATATTACTTGAAACAGACATGGGAAGAAAAAAAAAAAAAAAAAAAAGAATTTTGTTAAAAAGGCAACATGAAAAAGAAAATATAGATGAGATCAATCTTAATATGTTCAGAAATTGGATTTTGAGCATTAAAAGTGAATTTGTGAATCCATTTCAAAATTTAAGGATTCTGACAGAAGGTTTACAAAGCCTGACAAAAGAAGAAAATATTTTAAGGTCTGCAATATTTTAAAGTTGACAATTTTACTTTAAAAATGATTGATTTTAAGTTCAGCATTATGGACAGATAAATTCAAAACATTGCAAAAGGATTAGGAAAAATCAGAAGATTATGATCTTTCACAATATTAACATGTTGGAAATCACTTCCTATGAAGGTTTCATCTCTGAAAAAAATTGGCTTTCCCATTTTCTCAGCATTTAGTTCAACTTATAAATGCAGGCAAATATTTTCACAAATGAAATTTATTTTAAATTAGAACAGGAGCAGCTCAATTACCAAAAATTCAGATGCTTGTATTGATCTTAAGATGTCTAATTACAAGCCAGACTTGACTAAATTGGTGTCACAAGTTTGGCATCAGGGGAACTATTGATATTGAAGAGAAAAATAAAGTTGATTCAGTTATGTTTGATTATATATAATGATTAGAATTTTAATTTTCATGTTTAAAGTGTAACATTTTTGTGTTTAAGGTATGTATAAGTTTAAATATTATTTGTAACTATTTTCTCAGAGAAATTTATCATAATATTCAACCCATCCCCAAGAAGAAGGGAGGGGAAAACATTTTTTAGATGAAAATACCATTGACTCAAAACATCTTATTATAACAATTTTGGTTGATTTTAACCCACAACCAAAAACGATTGCTGGCTCATGGTCTAGTATGTATTAATTTATAAAATGTGCTAGATTCAGAATTTTTTCCTCCTCAGTACTTAAATCGCAAATAAATTGCATCAATATTGGTGCCTAACTAAGAAAAATTTGGGGAATAGTATGTCTAGTCCTTTTTGCTATTCAAAAGAAAAGCTGTCATCAAAAAAATATGACCCTTTTGCACAATGAGCAAAATAAATTTGCCAAATTTCAGCAGTTTTTAATTTATAGATAAAACAAACCAGTCTCTATATACAGAATTTTGTATTTCATGTCGAATAAAGTTTAAGTGTTTGAATCTTAAATTAAATTTTAAATTTAACAGGCTGACTTCATACCATATACTCAAAGGATCTAATATTCTCTGCAATATTATTTTCAGCTAATGAGGTGTCCATTATCTACCTACCAATTCCAAACAGTGTTCTGTGTTAAGATTTGTTTTTTGGTAGAAAGTTTTCACTTTTAATAGATGCAAGTTTTTCTTACACAATTGGCTGTGATATTTAATCATTAATACATTTCATGTAAAGTATTCTGATTTATTTTGCTCTTTCTTTTTTCTTTGTAATACATCTTACCAGATAACATTGCAGTGATTTCACGCTTGTATACACAAAAAAAGAACTAACTGATTTTTCAATGCAGAACTTTTAAAGTTGCTCAGGCAATGAATATTTTTTATTAAACATAATAGGCCCTGTTGTGTTTGGTATGCCAGAACAGTCTCATTATTGTAAAAAAACTCAATGTCAAGAGACATTATTCTGTGAAATATGTTGTTTACAAGAGATTAACTTATCAAATGGAAAACAAGGGATAATCTGCCTGTGTATATTTACGTAGGCATATCATCCCGTGTTTAATATGTCTTGATTAAAGAAGGTAGTAAAGGTAACAAGCATGTGTGTGGCAAACTTTAGTTAAGGGCTAAAACATTAAATCATTAACAAGTTTAGGCAACCCTGACAGCTATATGGGTTCATATAAAAATTTCCAGGCTTCATTAATGTATAAAATTTTATTTACAACACTGATTTGACTAACTTTTAACACCTTTAGAAACAAAAATAAATGCAAAGTTTGACAAAATAATAATTTAAAGCATTTAGAATTCAAATCTTATTTTAGGATGAAAGTAGTGTAGTAGTAACCTCAGCATTATATAAAATTATAAGTTTAAAAATCAAATATATGTTGCTTAAGATAGTGTCGCATAATGTTTTATTATTATTATTATTATTATTTATTTATTTAAGGGTTTTTGTATGTACTTTTCAATTCTGTATCTATTTTAAGATTTGCTTTTAAATTTAAGCATTTTTGTTTAAGTATTGTCTATTACTTTATATTTTTGTTTTTAATATATATATATTTTTTGTTTTGAATATATTTCATTTGATATTATGTTGTATTAAAATTATTGTTTTATTTGATTTAGCAATAGAGCTACAACTCCACGAAGCAAAAACATCAGCAATAAGCAAAAAGTCAGTTCCCCTGCAAAATCTTCTAAACAATCCAGTCTTAAGAGACCGAAAAGGAATCAAGTAAATTTTTATTTTGTCATAACTAAAAAGAATTAATATATCAAAAGCAAGTTATCCAAGAATTTGAGCAATCAAAAAATTTTTAAAAAGGAATCCAATATTGTATATTCTCTTTGAGCAGTGTTAATAGAATATTTTTAATATTAAGATATTATGCTTTCATCTGGTAAACATAATTTTTTTTTTTTTTTAAACCGATTGCACTCTATAAATTATTTTAACTTTTTATGAATACAGTGAACTGTTACTACCAAATGTTCCCAATTATAAGCCAAGAGTTCATTTTTCTTCAAAATCCATATGTGAGCTGAAATTAAAAAAAGAAAATTCGTGTTACATTCGAACAAGTTAGGATGAGGAAGAACATATTACCAAGCAGGTAAAGGGGGTAGAATATTATCCAATGAAATCTGGATAAAGTAAAACGCTAAACACCAGTGACAGTAGTTTTAACTTTGGTAACCCTGAAGCCAGCAAATATTTTTCATTCATTTATTGTTTAATATAGCATCAAAGGTATCTTCTGTACTTTGGGTGGGTGGGTTTGTGGGTCGGTCCCTTAATTTAGCTTTAGAAAAGGTTCCAAAAATTCGCTTATACACGGTAATTTAAAATTTCACTAAATTTTAATTAGAGATGAAGTTTTGAAAATTTTGGTTAGGAAATAACGTTAATAAATTTCATAAATTCATATTGCTTGTCCTAAAATTCTGGATAATTCGAATAAAATATGGAAGTCCCATTCACATTTTTATCTCCTACCAACCTATATACATAGATAAAGGATGTAATAATTTCAATCCAAAAATTTGATAGGGTGTTTTCAATGAGTAAGCATCAGGGTCCCCACAACATATTTTTGTTACTTTTTGAATGATGTCTGTGTGTGACAGTTTTTTTGTCCATGATAAATCTATATGAAACTTCCAAAAATTTCATTTTCCATATTTAAGTTTTCTGTATTAATATAAAGAGTTGATTAGATTTAGGGTAAAATTTGTCAACCATACTTTACATTAAGCCCATAAAAGTTTTTAATGGTAACCAGAGGTGGAATTGTACTTCAGCCCCTAACAATTTTTAATGAAAAACTGTGTTTTCCAGTCATAGTATTTAAGACTGTAAAGTCACTGGGAACAATATTTTATGTTTTTGCTTAAAAGCTGGTTAGAAGCTCTAAACAAATTTTCGTGAAAAAACACGAGATAATCCAAAACTTCTCAGATTTTTTATTTTAAATATATATGTGATTGAGAACAACCTATTACATTTATAAGCATTAAATGTGTTCTTTGCCAAATACAACTACAGTACAGTCAAAAGTCGTTAATTCGGACACCCGTAATCCGGAATGATCTATAATCCGGACCTCAAAACTAAAAACTTTCTGCGCATGCGCCGCGTTGGTACATGCGCACAGGCATTTTACGCGTGCGCGTAAGACCTTGACTACTGCGCATATGCGTGTGCGCAAGTGCAGAATACGTTTTCGCGTGCGCGTTTAATGTATAACGGACGGTATAAACTAAAATTATCTAATTATCTATTTCAGTTAATGTTGATAATTGCGTTGTTCCTTAATCTTCGAATTGGATCCGGCTTATTATTTTTTGCAGACTATAAGAGCAATTTTCTAAAAGTAAGCTTGAACTTTCGATTATGTCAAATAGTATTTCCGATGCTGGAGCTCCCAAAGGATCTAGAAAACGAAAGTATGTTTCGATGTCCATCAAACAAAAAAACGAATTGCTACAAAAAATGGATAAAAGCATATCCTTTGTTTATCTAACCGTTCCACGCTGCTCTGCGCGGGGGGGGGGGGGGGGGGCGTCGCGGCGCACAATGAACTGGAAGTTGATCTGTCAACACTATCGTTATCTTCAGGGCAGATGTTTTTATTTTATTGTGCTTATAATTCCTTACTAAATGTAGTATTTAATTTCGATGTACTCCGTCTTTGATATGATTTAAATCAAATTCCTCGTCATTATAAATATCACGAATGCAAATCAAATAGTTTTCTGGTTGCAATTTTCTAATTTTGGCTATGCGTAAGGTATGCTTTACGCATCCGCGCGTTGAAAGAAATGTTTAATAAAGTAAACAAATAAATATTAGGCTTCTTTTTTGGTAAATTTTGATACCCTTTAGATCATAATTGCTCATTATTTTATAAATTATGGTTTCATATTTTTAATTTTATAATTTCTGCATGCCATCTTACCAGATTTAAACTGATGATCTATAATCCGGAAAAATCGATAATCCGGAATCGCCGAAGTCCCGACGAGTCCAGATTAAAGACTTTTGACTGTATTATGAAAAGGAGCTATGGTTCTGACTTAATGTATTAGTCTCGATCCTCGATTTTGTGCTGATGTCACTCTTGTGACTCATTTACCATCGTGCCAGATTCATTCAACTTCTATGGATTACACAAATATGAAAACATAACAAGGAAATCCTGCAAAAAATTCAAATATAATAATCTAATATTTGCAGATTATGCATCAGTTGACAAAGATTTGGAAGTTAATGCATGAATTTTAAAGCTATGTGTAAAGTGTGCAGCAAGTAGAAAAATAGGATGTTGAAGAATTGGTCTGTGCATAGTGTCACGAAGTTTATGCAGTTTATAGTTTTTAGTATTAGTTCTATTCTCAAATATTGCTTTTCAGACCCCTCCCTCTTCCCCCCCCCACATTAAACAACTTACAGGAATATTTTCTATAATCCAATTAGTTTTGTTAGTCCCCATTAATTTAAATTAACAAGTCTACTGTATATTAATGTGTTATTATTTTAGAACATTTTGTAAAAATATTTCTTTCTAAATGGCAGTATTTGTATTAGACAAATTTTTCATAAACAGTATAGTAACTTATTCATATTTAGTTTATTTGTACTTAACTCATAAACAGTAACTTATTTGTATTAAAGAGACAGACTAGCACAAAAAACAGTACTTTGTAGTACTGTTTTTTATGGCTTTAGTTCAAATTTTGATAACATATTAAGTGCTAGAATTTTATTATTATTATTTATATATTTATTATTGAGTTTCTGGTAATATCCACTAGAAAAGGATTTTCTAGATTTCTAGGTTATATATTGAGCATTTAGAATAATATTTAATCTTGAATATTTTTTATGGCTATTAATACTGTATTGACATCAACAGAGAAAGCAATAAAGTCGTGAGGGAAAAAAGTTTGTGCAGTGATTTCAAAACTTGGAGGGGCTCATTAATGGCTGGGTAATGAGAGAGCTGATATTATTTAAAACTTGGTTTAAATACCAGCAATTGCATTGGATATATGGAAGTTTTCATGGTTTTCTTCTGTATAACATAAGCCATTTTCTTTAAAAAATCATGCACAAAGGCGTCCCTTCTATATGCAGATCACTTTGTGTGCTTTGGCGCAATCTGAATAGCCTAGCCAAAAGATGACAGAGGCACATATCTTCAATTCCCAATTTTGTTCCTTTCACATTTTTTGGATTTATTCTTATAATTTTAATCTAATAAGTTTTTAAATTATAATTTTTTTAATTATTTCAGGTAGGTTTCTCTTAAAATAAGTTGAGTGAAAAATGTTATAAAAATTTTATAATAAGGATAAATGTCTGAAATTTCATAATTGAAGTTATAAAACAGTAATTATTTATTTTCTTTGCAGGCTTTTAGAAAGCATCGCGCTTAAAAATATTAGGTTTAAAATATGCAGAAATCATTGGTGATCTGGATAAACTAGTGTTACTGAAAACATTTGTTTAATTGACGTGAAAAACGTTTTGTTCTTGTTTAATGTGAAACATTATGAAAGATGAAAGCCTACTGCATAACTATTAATTTTTTTTTTCCATTTTAGGTTAATGCAAGTGCAAAGCGAAGGCTATTGTGATTGATGAATAAAAAATAGTGTTATTCATGAAGTTCGGCATTTTATGTTTTTATCATATTGTTCTGCTATGTGGAATAAACAATTTTGCATTATATGCAAAACTTTTATTCATCATTTCAACTGTGTAATTATGATTTTATCTGCTCCTAGGTTCCATCCTGATTATCATTGTTTTCAGTTTTTAATCATCTCTATTCTGTGTTTTGCATCATCTTAATTTTCATATAAGTTAAATTTATTGTTATCATTTGAAGCAGAGCTTGCTTTCTCCAAGTGTATATTCATGAAAATTGTTGATAATACATATGAATTGTTTTGTATATATGTGTGAAATCAATTTGAGTCACACTTTAAAATTTGGAACAAGTTTGAATGTCCTTATGTATGCTATACATTACTTTAATTTTAATAACTGCATAAATGGTGCAAGCATTTAAATATTATCATTCATATTTAAAATAACGTTTCACAATATACAATAATTTTTCAGATTTTATTTGGAAAGGACATATTTTCAGGGAAGACCATTTCCTTTTAAAAGACTGAGTGTTTTGAAATGCCATGCAGTATTTAATTACATCCGTTCTTATTTAAGGGGGGGAATGTTACTTGAGTAAACAGAATAAATACTTATGTGTAATATTCTTTTGCAGAATTTTGGGGCTTTAAAAATCAATATACGTAATTTATTGTGAGAATATTTTCCCCCTTTATTCATTACATTGAAGTGTGTTTTAATTTTGCATAGAATATTCAAATTCTTTATTTAATCTTTGCTATTTTTATATAGTCTTAATTTCCGGTGTACATGTACTGAGATTCTTTTTTAATGTTGGTCTATATGGGATTTTAGTTATTTTTAAACTTGTCCTGGTAGTCTGCATTATTTGTGCATTTGTGTGTAAATTCTGTGATGTGAAAACAAGCATTTATAAATAAAAGATTTTTAACCCAGTACTTCACAACCCATTTCAAAATTCAAGTGACACACTTGAGTTCCGAAAATGAAGTATAATATATAAAAATAAATTATAAAACATAAATATAAAATGAGCACTTGAAGAATACATAAAAAATTTAACTGAAAGTAAATAATAATAACATTTTTATTTGTCCATATTTGGTTCAACTTATAAATCCAAGCAAATATTTTTATATATGAAATTTATTTTAAGTGAAACCAGGAGCAGCTTAACTACTGAAAATCTAGGTACTTGTATTCATCTTAAGTCGACTAACTATCTGTAATCCAGTCTTGAGTAAACCGATACCACAAGTTCAGCATCAGGGAAGCCATTGATATCAATAAGAAAAATAATTTTCTGTCAGATATGTTTGTTTTTATAATTTTTATCATAAAGTTTAAAGCATATAGTAATTGCTATCTCAATAAAATTTATCTTTTTATTCACTAAGAAAGCCTGTTCTAAAATCAAAATACAACTGGCCCAAAACATCATCTTAATACACACAAACCATTTCAATGAAATATTAAGATACTCTAATATCCCTTAACTTTCTCTTTCTCTCTCTCTCTTCCCCCCCCCCACCATGTTCCCCCAGTGTGTGATAAAGATTGGTCTTCATCTTGAATATTTACAGATTTCATTAAATATATAGGGAACTTTTTAAGTGGCATTAATTTATTAATTTAAATCGTGTAACTTAATAGATATAGTGAACCCCCTTCATTTTAATTACCTTTGGAAGTGGCTGGTATTTTTTAAAACATTGACATCAATATTGATAATAATATTATTCTCTGAGAAGACCATTCCATAATCTAAGATCAGCAACTATGTATTTGGATTATCACCATAGAAATGTAATTTTGCTATCAAACGCGGATATTTTTGTGTGCAGAAAAAATTCATACAATTACATTTCCAGTTCTTACGTTAACAGCAAAATTTGTGTGGAAAACAGTAATTAGTAATTTCTAAAATATTAATTTCATCCTTTCTCTGCATTATGATGTATTTTATATTACTTGATTAAGCATAATGATGCAGCACACTTTATATAACTAATAATTATTTTAAATTGTTTATTATAATTTGTTCTTTGGGGGGTGTCTGCATATCTGTGAAGATATCACAAAGCTACAGACAATTCATTTCTGCTTTTCATGTTGTTGTAATCAGCCATGTTCCTTTCTATAGCAATATATATATATATGCACCATATGTGTTAAGTTAGCTATATTTATGTATGGGCTTGTTGTAAACCAATGTAAAAAAAAAAAAAAAAAAACGGTATTCTGCTGGAAAATGAGGTTAAAAAAATTCTGAGCTGTTCCATTAACTGAGGATCTTAAAAGTTTGTTAAAACCAATTAAATCAAAATCCGGAAAATAAAAATCTGATTTACTTTATGTAGTGCAAGCACTTTTAGAGAAAGTGTTTATTGAAAGTATTCGGTCAGTTAGTCTGACTTCATTGATGAGTAATTTTAAAGTTAATAAAAATTTGTAATGTAACATTATATTCCTCCCTTTTGGCACATAAGGTCTGTTTTTGTTTAAAGCATTATCCTATTCTGAAAATAAGTTGTAAGATGATTTTTTTGTTTTGTTTTATTGCTAGATTATTTATTATTCATAATTAATAAGGCAATATACCACACTTTTAGTTAATTTTTCTTGACATGATGCCAGAAGCCTTGTGAAAGATTAAACTGTAATGCAAATCAGTAATTGCTATTACCAGTATTTAGCTTTTCTTAGATGACCATCACAGAAGACCAAAATCGTCTGGAATCATAGTTAACCTAGAGAGGTTTCACTGTATATTAAATTTTTAGTGTAATATGTAATTTATCTTTAATTAAAGTTCTTAAACGTAATTTTGAACTAATCATTTTAAATTTAAATTTATTTATTATTTTGTTATTAATGATTTAATTTTTATCTCTGTATTTTTTTTATAATTATATTGACAATCATCTTCATGGGAACAGTAATACAAATGCTCGTTTAAAATGGAAATTATTTTTCTAAGCTTTTAGCTTTGACTCGTATATAGTTGCATTTATGTATGTAAATTTGTCATGTTAAAGCATAACGATATTAATTTATTATTATTTTAATTCAAACATTCCTAAAACATTACTTTAATCATGCCCATAAGATAGTTATCTATATAATTCAAGCTGCTTTCATGTGTTTAGAGATAAATTTCATTACATTTTGAAAGTGTTTAATGATATTTATTTATTTATTTATTCAAAATGCAGGATTACATTATTGAACATGTGTTGATTATTTATTGAATAAGATTTTGAGATGTATATTGTGTGTCACTTGTGAATTTGGAGGCATTGGTAGTTTTTTATGTATGTTTAATAAAGTGTAATATTTCAGATCATTTTGCAGAATTGCAAATAAAATAAATTTTACAACTTATCTTTAAATATATTTTTTAATATTAATAAGGGGTTCTATAGAAGCAATTTACATCTTTGATGTTTTATTATATGTCAAAAAAGGGCTTGTTTAGAAAAACTGAAGCATTTAGAGATGATATCTTTAAAATTTTATTTTATTTTATTTTATTTTATTATGATAAATGCTTCTTCAAATACTGTTGACATAGTCTTACACTTATAAACTTCCCTATCATAATGTTTTTTTAATTCTTTAATTCAAAGGTTAATGCAATATAAGTGCTTTTTTGCAGTCAAATAGAAGAGAAACATGCCACTGTGGAACGTAAAATTCGGAAAAACGGTAACCTTATTTTAACATGGATTTTAAAAAAAACTATTGATTTCGAGGATGATGGGCCACCTTAAAAATCAATAGAGGTTTGTTTAAAATCTCTGCCAAAATAAGGTTGCTGTTTAGCTTAACTTTAACTTCTTTGCAGTATTTTAAGTTTCTACTAAGTAGTAAAGATAACTGTTCAAAGTTTCGTTTATATTGCAATGTTATGTAAAATAACTGAAAAAAAATGTGATTTTAGAATATATAAACAAACTGTAGTCATTAATCTGCACCAAGAATGTGGGTTTGTGCCTTCTGATATTTTCTGAAAGATTCACATTTTGATGTTCTGATGCTAAATATGCTTTATTCAACATAGATCATCATGTACTGTTTCATTGTCATGTTTCATGATATTTGTTTTGTTTAATATAGTTTGTAAGAAACCCTCTATAAATTTTTTGTGAAAAATGTCATTGTTGTATACTACATCATGTCATTATTTGGTGAATTCCTGGAAGATTATCTTTGTATACTGAAAATAAAAAATTTTAAGATTTGTAGTGTTCTTATCTTCTTGCGAATGTGTAGGCATTATATATTGGAAAGTATGGGTATCGATAAGAAGCTTTAGTATTGAATTTTGATAATTCTTCAAATAATTTCTAAATTTTCTTATAAAATTAATATATATAAAAATTAATTAATAAATTTTTTATGTGTTTAAAATGCTAGTTGGTCTGTCAGTTTACAATTTTGCCATCTTGCTTTTTTTTAATATTCAGATTTTGTTATTAGCATTATTAATAATTACTCATTTAAAAAATATTGTAAAGGTAATCAGTATTGAATTAAATGGAAACTGAATAGCATTTCAGAATTTATCAATGCCTATATCAAATGTAATATACTGTCTGTCTACGGTAAGAACAGCTCCCGCCACGGTGTCTGGCGAGTGGCGGTCGCTATAGCAACAGGGCTAGTATATTTCAAATAGGGACGAACCAAGGGTTGCTTTATTGTTATTTTGTTTTTGGCGACTGTTGGCTTAAGGGAAGTTTATCATTCGTCTTCTCGGCTTCATTCCAGCTGCACGCATCTTTTCTTAAGCCTTATATTATTACTATTAGCTCTTTTTATTCTCGTTGTTATATCATTTGTGCTAGCATTTGCTCAAATTCGCTTCTATTTAGCTTGATTTTCGTAGTGCTTTGTTAATCGCCAATTTTATTAAAATGCCCTTCCAGTTTAAGAAAGGTCAACCTTTAAAGTCTCAGTCACGTCAAATCGTGTATAGTGTCGCAGAATTTTGCGCTTCTGAAGTTTCGGCGAACTCTTTAGTAGTTCCTCTTCCTTAAGTTTTGAAGAGCGAAGTATCAACAATGGGTGAAAATAAACTTCTGAATACACTTGGAAAGAAATGTAAAAGCCCTGCTAATCATAAAATGTGAAATTTACGATTTTGACAAATGCGTTCTAACGGCAGACAATACAAGACTTTTACATCAAGAAAAGAAAGTGCCATCTGTGCGGAAATTACTGCCTGTCTTGAGGTAAAAATTAGACTTCCCGTGGCAAAAAGACTCTTTGTGCAAAGTTTTGTGTTCAATGAATTTTCGTTGGAATGCGTAGGGGAAAAAAAAAAAATCTTTTCGAAAGACCTCACATTGTATTTTGGAGGAACAATTATTTACGCGAAATGAGAAAACTCAGAGCAAGTGAACGAACGCCACATCGTTTACATCGATGAAACATGGATTGACAGCAATTTAACTTTTAAGAAATTTTGGCAACATGATACGGTTTTGGGCGCACAGCCAGTTTCCCTTAGCAAGCCCTCCATGGAGGCATCCCTCCTCTTAGGCCTGGAGGCTTTCCGTAATCATATAAACCAACCCAAACCACTGGTAATTAAGGAAAAAACAGTTTTGATTTTAATTCACCTTCGCTTCCTTCCGCCATTAAATTAACCAGCTTTTGGTTTAGTTTAAAGGTATGAGAAAAGAAGAAATGTTCGCAAAAAGTATTTATTGAGAGCATGGGTATGTAAAAATATGCTTTTACTTTCAAGATGATTCTATATACATTTAATGATGAAATTTTTGGTACTTTTCCATTTCGGCGGCGCAAATCTCGCCAAGCAGACTTTGTTGGCGACAACATACAGTATAAAAAAAAAAAAAAAAAGTATTAATTCTAAGAATTTTTTATTTTGAAGGCATAAACATTTTAATATGGTTTAAAATTTTGTAAAAAGCCAATAAATAAAGACAATAAATTTGTAAAAAGACATTAATTTAAGAATTTACTATGCTTTGATGGTTCAAAATCCTGATTCGCCGGTTCGTATCACGTGACCCCAAGTAATTTCATCTCACGTAAACTACGCTACAAAAATCTAATTCTCTCAGTCATTATCTGCATTAATTTCAAGTTAAATCTTAATTTTGAATACAATTTAAGTGCAAGAATTATTTCAATTCGTACAAATAGTTTACTCAGAAATTATGTAAAACCACAGTGCTTTACTTCGCTAGTGCATTCTCATTAGAATTGATGAATTTAACACTTGATTTTGCCTTTTCTATATTTTTGCCTTCGGGTGAGCGGTATGATTGCATTCTAATTGACTTAATTACCGCGAATTGTTTTAGGGGATAAAATTTAACTATCTTGTAAAAATTCTACGTAATTGTAGGCCAGTATTGAAAGAAACAATCAATTGGTAAGAAATGGCTGTGACTTGTTTTGAAACTGAGGCGTAAAAAGTTACCAGCGAAGATATTCCGTTTGGTATCAGTTGTACCATTATTGGCAACTTTATCGTTTGCGCAGCAAAACAGAAAAGTACCAAATTTTTAGTCATTATTAAAGCACAAGCAATAAATTAACAGAAAATTTTGAAATAAAAACATAGCAGAACGTCATTTAAAGACTGAAGAAATTGCTTTGAATGTTCACGGTAGATCAGCTAGAGGGGAGAACTATAAAAATTAAATTTATTTTATATTTATGAAGTGCGTCTATACTATATAAAGAGAATTGGGGCAATCAAGTAGATTTCTAAGATGTCATCTATGATTTTGCAAGCAAACAAATAAACAAAAAAGAAGCAAATAATAGCATGATTTTTTTAAATGTCGAAATTAAAATTTTTCTTCAAAAAATAAACACGGATTTTTAAATTTATTTCCCTACAAGTTTATTTTTACTCATTGTACATCTAGAGGGATTGCAAATTAGCGACTTGTACCTCACACGGCAAAATCAAAGACCGTTTCTTGACTGCAAAAGCTTTATCTACGCCATCGAATTTCATTTTCGGAAATTGGATGTCGGGGTTGACGCAAAGGGTCAACAAGCATTTTACTTGAAACTAAAACAAAATGTGAATATCGCCAAATCATCTTTAAATGCGCCAAGGTGGCAAACTCAGAAGTAAGTCTTCAAGACACCCCTACGAAAAATGGGTTAGGGCTCGTTTCTACGGCAACAGACAGCTGCAGACAAACTGGCGAGAGCTGTTCTTACCATAGACAGACAGTATGCACATGGATGCCAAAAACTATGTTCTCAGACATGTGGGGTATTTCTCAACTTATCTGAGCTGTGTTATGGTACTTTATTCTGATGTATTTATATCTTATTTTAGGTAATTGCTTTTTTAATGAATATTTTACCCTTGGATAGTAACTGTATTTGATAAAATAAGTGTTAAAGTCTAGAATAAGTTTACTCCACTTACCTTAATAAAACATTTTAGGATTAGATAATTTATAATTTTACGTGAACAAGATACTAACCACCAAACACCTTAAATTAACATTCTACCCGTTAAAAAGGTAACAATAGTTTATCATATATGGTGCTTGTGAAGACTTTAAGAATGAAAACAAATGTGTAATAAATCTCAAAAGATGCATCTATAAATTGATAGCAGTCGTCATTTTATAGAAAAATACGCGATGCTTTTTTAAATTATATGTCACCTGCAAAGTTTCAATCATGATGGTTGTGAGATTTTGTCAATGAGACTTCAATCTTATATGTATGACAAAGCCGCATACAAGGGTTATACAAAAATATGGACTCGAGGGGGGGGGAAGAAGGCATAAAATGACATTTTTTCTATTTGAAATTAAAAAAAGTTTTAAAACAAAAGGAATCTGCATTTACTTTTCTTTCTAAAATTCTGCCAAATGAGTGAACTTATAGAGTTTCAAAGTAGGCAGAATTTGGACCCCCATAAGGTGAGAAGTTCTATGACCTAAGTGACCAGTTTGTTATTCCATAAAACTGTATCTAGAATTAGGACCTCATATTCTACTACTGGAGATACATCAGCATAGGTGGAATTTGAAAACAATCGTTATATTGTTCGCCTTCCCTGGAATCATAATTTATAGAGTTTCAAAGTAGGCAGAATTTCGATGGAACTGTATCTAGAGTTAGGACCTCATATTCTACTACTGGAGATACATCAGCTTAAGTGAAAGCATTCTTTGATTGACAGAATGAAGGACGTTATAAAGAATTTTATTCAGAAATTAGAAAAAAAGTTGCAAAAGTAAAAAATAATGTGAATAGGTGTATGACATATTTTTATATTTAAATAATGAGAACTCCATGAAATTTAGTTCTCCAGCTGCTGTTACTAAATTACTATTCAATGAAGTGTGGGGAGAGTGTTGCAATATTCACCAAATTTAACTGCCAATGAATGGAAGATCTGATTTTGTGAAATGGCCTTCACAGTCTCCAACTTGTAACTTAATTTGCATGTGAAGAACACTAACCAAAGCCTTTTATTTCGGATCCAAGACACTAAGTCAACGGGACACTTGACCAACAGGACATTTAGTCGACAAGGACAGTTCGCCAACAGGACATTTAGCCGACACACAGAATTCGCCGTTAGGGCATTTAGCTACGGGACAGTTAACTGTCAAGACATTTAGTCAACAGGACACTAAGTCAACAGTGACGTTCAGCTCACACGTACCCAATAATTATTTTAATTTACAATCAATTACAGAATTTCTCGACTTCTCCATAAGTTTAATATTTAAGTTATTTTTTTCACCTGTCAGTAAAATTCAATTTTTGATTCTTGAAGATCTCATATGTGCTTTTAATTATTGTATTAATTTATCATTGTTTGATATTTATCGTGCTGTTTGGTGTATATTGGCCAAATTGAAAAAGCGCTGAAATTTCTCGTCAGGAAATATGAATTAAATTTCGAAAGGAAAAAGAATTTTTTTAGCTAAGTACGGCAGTCACTGAATTACATTCTAATGTGGGACCTTTAAAAAATTATCCGTAAAGCGTCTTCATTAAATCGACTTTGACATCATTAATAATTTTTCTTGTTTACTTCATGATATTAATTTTCCAATCTCGCTCTTCCAAATGCTTTCAAATTTCTAATATTTTTACGTTACTTTACTATTTTGCTCATCACATCGTGTTACATTCCTTCTCTTAAAATATTGTTTGACTCCTCCCACTAGTGAAATTTCCTTTCCTTGTCATGAAAAATCTGAATAATGCAATAAAAATTATTGTTA